ATCTTTTTTTTACAGTGATCTTAAACAGCGAGCGCATGTAGTTGCGCGTGTTGACAGACACGTTTGCTTCCTGATTAACATTATAAACACGTGAACCCTGCGCTTTTGTGGCAGAATTATTGTTTCAGACTTGTGAATCCCCGGGTAGATGTAGGGACTTGTGATTAAAGCATGATGCCTGAATGTCACAAGTGTAATAAACTACAAGCTGCCGGTTTTATTCCCTGTTTGTATGGCTTGTTTTTTTGTGTTATGGGATCTATTCCTCGTAAGTGGACCGCCCGAGGGGTTCCGCAAAGCACCCTCCGCAGCCTTCATGTTTAAGTGTTCATCACCTTCGTCAGGAGATCTCACAGCTGCATGCGGAGCCAGAGGGCCTGCCTTTTTTTTTTTTATATTTCCTCCTCACAAGACAAATGTCGAGTATCCGGGCTTTAGCGGGGAGCCTGGCCCACCCGTCTGCCGCCAGTGGTTTGGAGACAGCTAGATGAATGCACGGGTAGGACGCGTCTGGCTAGCAACCGGAGGCAAAGGAGTCACGGCGCAATGCAAGGCCGCGCCGCGATAACGACAGGAGGGTTTTAATCATCAGGCGCTCCCCGGGAATGACACCAGCGCCGCACGGGGTAACAGAGATAGAGAGCAAGAGGGCTGGCACCCAGCAGACAAACAACAGGCTGCTAACATCGCCTTGTGCATCAGCTTATGGCCTGGCAGGAGGAGAAACATGTTGATGCTATAGATATAACCCGTAGATATTTATCCATCTAAGTACCTATGTACAGTATGTGTGTGTGTGTATATTTCTTAGCCTGGTGGAATAAAAAAAAAAATCACGTTATCACTTGCCAAAGCCAATATTCTCAAACTCCAATATGTGGAGTTGATATTAAATAAGTATATACATTTAGTGGAAAGCCTATATGGTTTAGTGGGAACATCCATTTGCTTCACTGTAGGCTGCACTCATTTAACCTCTTTTTATTTAAGGGGGTTATTCCCCACTGCTGTTATGGTAATCCAACCATTAGCCAGATTCCTGCTGTACTTCGCCGTACTATTTAAAGACGCCTCTTTTTAAATCCAGACAAGCATGGCCGGCTCTTGTGTTTGCCTCCGATGCAGCAGACAACGCAAAAGTTTTACTTTGTTAGCGTCTATTTAGAGAGCTTTGCAAGATTGAAGTCACCTATCTGATTCAACTCAGCAAACAGGGTTCATAGATATCACTGCGTGGAGCGTGGTAGCATTGGTTGGCGTTCTTTAATTGGGTTACACGGCGTGTGAAGACGCATCAGAGGAGAGATGAATGGATAGATGGAAAAGGCCGTAACCGATAAACAGGGTAGAATATCCACAGCACAAACACAGATGTATAAATTCTCAACATTAAAGCATTTGGTTAAGGAAAAGGAACAGATGCCATGTCTTCTTTTGCCAAAGAGAGAAATGCAGCTGTGTTTCCCATCATCGCAACAGGGTCCTTTGTTCAGTATTTCATGGGAGTCTAAAATAAAATGTTTTCTAAGATTAAGATCATCGCTTTATTGACAGTGGCTTTATCCCACAGGCTGCGACCCCAGAGAAAAGTGAACATCTCACTGAGCCATTTACTTAAAGTAAACTGTAACAGTTTTGAACTGCAGGGATTCTAATCACATTAATAAATAACTGCAGAGAGAGAGAATTAAATGCTTAATGGGATTGTTTATTTTAGAGTACTGCTGCCATTGACGGTCAGAGAGCATCTTCATTTTCTTTCTTCAGTCTTTGTGTCTATTTTTCTTGATTTGTTTTCTTTTTGGACCACTCTGGATTGTAATTTGCTTGTGTGTGTGGGTGTTTGTATCTGTGCATCAGTACATTTAGTTTCTCAAGAGTCATTGATCGGGTTAAAGCAAGACGATGAGAATGAGGTGAGCCATACAGTTGTGAGAATTACAGTTTTTTCTGAAGAGGAAAAGTAGTTTCTAGCATTTTACATCAAACACGGAATCTGGTTTTGTAGAAAATCCCAAGTAAGTCTTGAAATTAAGTAAGTATGAACGAAAAGTGTCTGAATGTCGAAATGTAAAATCTGTCCAACAGTTGAGTCAACAATGGACTAGAAAAATGAATAAAAGGTTTTCTAAATTAAAAAATAGACATAATACAAAAATACAAGCATATGCTTCTGCTTTAATAATTCATTTTTTGAATAAAAAATTAAACTGTAGGAATGTAAGATCCAACATTCAACCAAAGTGTGTCTTCACTTTATTCTTCTAACTTCCAAGGACAGGAGCATTTATTTTGTATATACTGAGATATGTTAAACCTTAGATTTGAAAGATTGTGCTTTCCTTTTCAGTGGAGTTTATTTAAAAGAATACAGATAAAATTTCTCCTTTGATCGAAGCTTATTAAACTTTGGCTTCGCCAACAGGGGCATTATTTGGCTGGTTAATATCACAGAGTGGGGAATGAATAAATGCTCGCTGATTGGACTGAGCGCGGTTAGTAGTAATGTCTCTGTAATTTACGTGAGGACCACCTTTGACGTTGTGCATTAGTGGCCCATTGTGCGTCAAAAATTGATTAGTCTAGTGCAGATTTAAAAATAGCCTTAATGCCACTTCAGTGACACCTGTGGACAGCTCCTGCTTTTCATTTTCCCTTTTGAGATTGTGTTATTGTGCTTAACTTAAAGAATGATAAGGAATTCATCAGGTTCCAGCTCTAAATAGACGCCCCTTTGATCTCCCCATACAACGTTGAATATGCTAGCACAACTAAATATGATTCATTTATTCAGAAACGAGACAGGGTGGCTTTGTGTGGTTTTTAATGAGTAATCTTCCACTCTCTGTAGGAATCTTTAATAAGTGTCATTTAATGAACGAAACACGTTCCGTGGCAAGTCATTACATTAGAAAGCAACAGTGATTGCTTTTGAAGGATTAAAG